TCAGGGTTCTTGTGGATAATTCATTTATAGATTTAGAGCTAGAAGCCATATTATCAGTCATCTAGTCTAGCCCTTTTTTAAAAATTTTTTTCTTTTTAGGCAATTGGAGTTAAGTGACTTGCCCAGGGTCACACAGCTAGTAAGTGTTATGTGTCAGAGGCCGGATTTGAACTCAGTTCCTCCTGACTCCAAAGCCAGAGCTCTGTCCACTGTGCCACCTAACTGCTCCTAAAATACACTTCTGATAAAAATAATTTCTTTTGGAAAAACTACTCTGATCTTATCTAATTATATCCAATGAAAAGATCCCTTCTTTTCTGATTTGTTCTTATCAGAGATAACTTAGTATGAAGACTTTCAAATGTATTATCAATCTAATAAGAAACACAGAAGAAAAAGAAAGATAGCCCCTACCCTCAAGGAACTTACATTCTAACTGGGGAAGACAGTACACAAAAGGAAACTGAAAGGGCTAGGGGTGGCAGTATAATACCTAGCTGGGGACATGATGTTGGAGTCCACCAAGCAGAGCAGCTGGTGGTAAATAAAGAAATGTCTGGCATTTTGAGTCCTCTGCAAAGGAAAGCCTGGCAGGAGTTTTTTGTTTGTTTTGTTTTTTTGCTCCATCCTCCAGCCCTTCTCTAATCAGAGAGCCAGAAGCCACTGAGGGTACTGATGAGGCATGAGGACCAAAGCTGAAGCAATCTCTTGTTAGCTTAAGCTGGAGGGGAGGTGCATGAGCCTCCTGCTGGAATGAGAACCAGGCACACAGTTGGGGGCAGATGACTTCTTTAACATGCAATCAGCCCATGCCCTTTGCTGGTTCCCAGCCAGTCTTGATTCCTGAGTGTTTGGAAGGTAACCTAATCCCATGGGCCCTCAGTAGTTAATAGTTCCTTCCCTAATGTTCACATTCTTTTCGGTTTTGTTGTTTTGTTTTGTTTTTTCTAGAGATTCAGCTTGTAGTTAATACTGAATTATTCTTTTCTGGAGTTTTATCCTGGGATTGTCTTAACTCAAATAGAAACAGGGGCCATTAATCCGTATACAAGGATCCCTCTGGGCCACATATTGACTTAGTTTTAAAATGTGATTATCTGTTTTATTATATTTTTTTAAAATTTTAAGTATTTCCCAGTTACATTTCAATCCATTTTAACATAGGCTCCCTTCCTACTTCCTGTCTTAGGAATTTTCCTTTGCTTATTCATCTCTTTAGTCTTTGCTGTTTTTCCTTTCTTCATTAAATGTCTAAGGCTAATGATTATTTTGCCTCATTCAAACCCAATTCACTTGCAAGTCAAGACATCACCCTCCTGATGTCATTAGTCCTCTTCGAGAAGGAAGGACAAACAACAATAACAATAATGGACTTCCTTTGGTTATGGATTGGATAACTCAGGTTGAATTGCTGCCAAGCTGTAATCTCTACTAGGATGGCTTGTGCAAGTCTACCTCACCTGTAACTCCTCACAAGCTTCTCTTGAATTCTGCAACTGTTTAACCTTACAACACAGATCCCTCAGCACAGAGATTCCATAAGGGCAGTGAGTAGGGGCATAGGAGCAGTCAGTGAGCAGAGAGCCTCAGCAGCCATGCACCTTCTAATCCAGGTCCTCTACCTTCAGCCCCTGCTGTCTACAACTACCAAGTTATATAACACAGCTTTAAAGGAGCAAAGACAGATGAGCTGCTTCCGATAGTAATAGCAAGAGTTTCTTGAAATGGATTTATTCATCAGAAGAGGGATTCTGTTTCTTGTTCATGAAATCAAGTTTCAAAGTAATTTTCTAGTAACCACAAAAATGCTAATAGTTGAAATTATCAACATCAACCACCAGGCTTTCTGTTTGGGGAGCTAGGCACAGAACTGTTTCAAGCAGAGGGGTGTAAACCAAAATTCCTTTCAGATGGAGTGTAACAAATAAAAGATTGGGGGGGGGGGGTTGTGAGCTTCTTAAAATACTCTTCTGACAAAAAATAATTTCTTTTTGGGAAAACTAGTCTGATCTTCTTATCTAACTATATCCAATAAAAAGGTCCCTTCTTTTCTGATTTGTTCATGTCCAAGCTAATTTAGTGTGATGACTTTCAAATGTATTATCAATCTAATGAGTTACATAGCATTATAATAGTAACTTTTAGGTATGCTTACCCCTTTAATAGAGTTCTTGGGTAGACCCAAACAGAAAGAGAAGCATTCCTCTCTAATCAGTTCTCTAGAAGAACAAAATGGTGCAGTGGATAGAGTGCTGAACCTAAAGACAGGAAAACCAGCTGTGTGACCCTGAGCAAGGCCCTTAACCTTTGTCTGCCTTAGCTTCCTCATCTGTAAAATGGGAATACTACTCCCCCACGGGTTGTTGTGGGGATAAAATCAGATGTTTTTTACGTGCTCTGTAACCTTAAAGCATCATATAAATGCCAGGTTTTATCACCGTCGTTGTCAGATAGAATGCTTTATACTTTAAAGATCTGCACCTTGGCTTCCCACCAGTTAAATTAAAGTAGATATTGAATAGGTTCTTTTGTGATGTTCCTTGTCTCCTAAAAGTGGCGTATATATAAAATTACTATTTCTTTGAGACTCCAGTCTCAAAACCAAGTTGTGAGAATCACTGATTTACTAAGGGAGGTAGGAACAATTCTTGGGAAAATAGTTGTGTACACTAAGAACTCAGGGTCTATGCAAGCTTTCCATGAGCGTGTACCTCCTTTCTGTGCTAATGAATGATTACAGTGGTGGCGAGATCAGGTTTATGAGATTCATTCTTCACTTAAGAGCCAAATGGATAGACCTGTAATACATTAGTCATTCCAGGGACCGAGGGAGTGCAAAGCTCTTATCACTTTTAGAAAAGCTACTGAAAGTGCCGTATCCAGTTGTTGATGGCTAGATAGTATCATCTTTGATAATTGATTAGCATGAATAATTTCACGTTGTTTCTTAAGCTGGTTGTGTCCTCTAGACAAGATGTGTCAAACTCAAATAGAAATGGGGGCCAGTAAAGCATACATAAAGATTTCTGTAGGCCACATTTTGACTAAGAAAACCACATGTTTATGAGCCGATGCTGAGTGAAGTGAGCAGAACCAGGAGAACATTGTATACAACAAAGCAACATTGGGTGATGACCAATTTGATAGACTTATCTCTTCTCAGCAATGCAATGATCTAAGACATCTCCGAAAGACTCATGATGGAAAATGCTGTCCACGTCCAGAGAAAGAACTATGGAGTCCGAATGCAGACAAAAGCGTACTGTTTTCTCTTATTTTTGTTTGCTGGAGGTTTCAGCTTATAGTGGTTGTTGTTGTTTATTTCAGTTGTGTCTAATTCTTTGTGAGCCCATTTGGGGCTTTCTTGTTAAAGATCCTGGATTAGTTTGCTTTTTCCTTCTCCAGCTCATTTGACAGATAAGGAAACTGAATTTAAGTGACTTGCCCTGGGTCACACAACTAATAAGTGTCTGAGGCCAGATTTGAACTAAGGAAGATGAGTTTTCCTGATGCCACGCCGGACACTTTATCCACCACCCACCTAGCTACCTCAGGGTCTTTTACCTGACCAGACATCTCGAATCAGTCGACAGGCATTTATTAAGTGCTTACTATGTACCCAGCACTGAGTCAAGTCCTAGAGATACAAAGAAAGGCAAAAATAGCCCCTGCACTCAAGAAGCTTACATTATAATAGGGAAAGACAATATGTTAAATAATAAACAGGTGCCTTCAAAATACATACAGATGAGATGAAAGATAGCCTCAAAGGAGAAGTATTTAGCAGCTGAGAGAAGATGAAAGACTTTAAAAAAAAATTTCCACCATCTTTCAGTAGCATAGCATTGCACCGGCATGGCTACTTCTAAACCATCTTCAGGATCCCTTGCAGTAAGAATGAAATGTGTGCTTGAATTTCAGATCTTTCATTTCAAGTCAGAAGAATGATGGGAAACATTAGGCCCTATGGGAGGGGGCAGCAGCCACAACAAATGAGAAAACTTACACGAAGCCCTTGAAAGACCATACAGATTTAAACAGATGGTAGTTCTGTCCCCATGGGAGGTTAGAGCATATTGGCCATAGGGCAAAGAGGGCCTTTTTCATTGGCCAAAATGATCTAAACAAATGAGTTTTTTACAGCTGGGTACAGGCAAAGAGGGTAAATGCCTATTATGAGCACAATAGGTGTGGAGGTGGGAGTCAGGGAGGTTATAGGGCAGCCTGAAACATATTCAGGGCATAAAAAACTTTGATGAGTGGATCTTTTCAGCCCACAGCATTAGTAATGTAATCTGCAAATACTAAGGGAGATATTAACTAGCAGTCTATTCAGGAATTAGCTTCTCTTCATACTTGATATAAGCTAGTTTGTTTGCCTGACTGCACCTTCATTACAAGCAAATAATGGTTACTAATTTTAAAAAAGAAAACAGCCCTTGTTTGGATTTCTCAGGTGGGTTTGAATCTCAGAGATCTTTCGTTTCATATCAAGGAGTTGTCAGTCAACACTTTGCTTGGGTTACATCCTGTAGGGAAAGCTTACAGGTTGCTTAAAGTAACTTTTAGCTTGAGGAATTGAGTAAAACAGAAGATTATTCATGATTATTCATTATTCATTTGCTCTGTGTTCTTCCCTGATGTTGGAGTTACATATGTACTTGGGAACATCTCCACATATCATATGCATGCACAAATCTAGGTGTGTTTTTGCCAACAGTCGGTAAAGATATATGTTTACCTTCCTCCAGACATGTTGTAGCCATATTCTCTTTCTCCTGGATTTAAAAATGCTGAAATCTCAATGGGACTGATGTTTCCAACTCTAATGTGTTACTTCCACATGTCAGTTCTGTTCATGAATCTCTTGTAGTTTGAGGAGGGGGATGGGGTGGGGAAGAGAGGATCTCTAATCTGCTTGCTTTGCTGACCTTAGCTCACAACCTTTTGCATCCTGGGAATTGCCCATTGCTGGATATTTTTTTTCCTCCTTTGGCCAGGCTGAACAATCCAAGGAGGAGCAGAAGCAAGATTTGAATGCTGAGAAACTGATGAGGAAAGTCTCCAAGGACGTGTGTCGGCTTCGGGAGCAGAGCCAGAAAGTACCCCTTCAGGTGCAGTCATTCAGGTAACACCTATTTGTATCTTCTGCACTACCTTATTTGTTGTTCTCACCCTGTGGTGTTTTTTTTCTTCAGCACTTAACTCCAGAGCAACTAACAGGCTTTTTCTAGGACTCTTCCTTAGGTTGGTGTCATTTATGATGTTTAGGTTAGCACCAAAACCATCTCTCCTGGCCCTTGACTAAAATGGCACTTTGGCAAATGCAAATAGCCAAAGGAAAAAACAAAAACACGCCAATAATTGTCATGGCTCTGCTAAAACGCTGGTTATTCAGAAATCTGTGTCTTTAAGTCACGTTGCAGTGATGACATCTCATTAAGAAATCCTGATTCTGGGTACCAGAAAGTACAGAAATTCTTTGTTTTATGGTACAGGAGGAGAGGGGGCTTCTTAGTTTAAGACAAACTTGGCAAGATCTCTTTTGTAGTTAACAGGCATTAGCCTGTCTAGACAAACAAAGGCCCAGGTGTTCCCGACATAATCCCCAAATCTCCTAAATATTCCCAGGTTCTGTTGTGATCTAGGCCATCACCTCACATATTTATTCTTCCTTGCTCCAATAATTTAAGTGAGTCAAAGTGAAAGGAACACCTGATAACTTCTGTAGCTTTTCTATCAATTAACCTTAAAAACATTTTTCACTTATACCACCCTTTTAAGTCTCATTCTTATTTAAAAGCTATCTCCCATAATAATAATTATCATTTTTATTACATAATTGTTACAACCAGCATGGAACCAGCGCATTTTCCCACAATATTTGGTTTGTTGTTGTTTAGTCATTTTCAGTCGTGTCTGACTCTTTGTGACCCCATTTGGGGTTTTCTTGGCCAAAGTACTGGAGTGGTTGATAGAAGGTATGAAAACATCTCAAGACCTGCACACCATATTATATTCAGAGGCTTTTGCCACAGAAAGGTGGAATTGTGATGGAATACTCCCAAGAACAGGCATCAAATACCAACCACCATGGCAGACACTACTTGGGAGAGCAGCTGAGGACCTGCAGAAAGCTATCAGGAGATTAGAGCATTATCTAGTTTGACATGCTCAGTAGAAAATTTTAATGCCCTATTATTCAATTAAAAGCAATATTAAAAAAAAGAAACACGCAGGATAGAATAAAACAAAAGATTATTTTAAAAATCTGGATTCCCTTAATTGTCCATTGTAAGCAGAAGTCAAGCAGGGAGGTGGAACATTTAAGTCAGCAAACATTTAAGTGCCTACTATGTGCCAGGCTCTATGTTAAGCTCTGAAGATACCAAGAAAAGCAGGAAAGTCTTTTTTTTTCTCAAGGAGCTCATAGTGACAATGGAGGAGACAAAATAAAACTATATTCTAGCATTAAGGAAGACAGGAAAGGTCTGTGGAAAATGAGATTTTAAGCTGGGACTTAAAGGAAGTCAAAGAGGAGAAGAGAATTTCAGGCATGAAATGTCCAGAATCAGGCGATGAATTATCAAATGTGAGGAATGGCAAAGAGGCCGGTGTCATTGAATCATAAAGTATATGGGAGCTTCTTGAGGTAAGGAGCTCTTTGAACACCAAATAGAGGATCATCTGTTTCAGCCTGGAAGTGGCCACTGTAGTTTACTGAGTAGAAGGGGTGACATTATCAGACTTTCACTTTAGGAAGGTCACTTGGACAGCCAAGTGGAAGAAGGCCAGGAGTGGGGAGAGACGAGGCAGGGAGACTAACCAGAAGGCCCAGGCATTAGATGATGAGGGTCTGGGTCATCAGAGGCATATATCTTAGAGGTATTGCAGAAGTTCTGTCTATATAAGATTTGCAACTGATTGGATACAGGTCATGAGAGAAAGGGCAAAGCCAAGGATGACACCTAGATTGTGAACCCAGGTGATAGGAAAGATGATGGTGCCCTTGATAGTAATCAGAAAATTCAGGGATAGCTAGGTGGCACTGTGGGTAGAACGCCGGCCCTGGAGTCAGGAAGACCTGAGTTCAAATGCAGCCTCAAACACTTACTAGGTGTGTGAACTTGGGCAAGTCACTTAAGCCCAATTGCCTCAACAAGAAATTCAGAAGAGATGTAGATTTTGGGGGAAATAGATAATGAGTTTACTTTTGGACATGTTAAGTTTAAAATGTCTACAGGACACCTAATTCAAGACGTCCAGTAGACAATTGGAAATGCAAAACTGGGGGGTCAAGAAAGAAGTTTGAGTTGTACGAAGTGGATCTGGGAATCATCAGCATAGACATCTTCCATGGGAGATCACCAAGTGACATTTTATAAAGGGAGAAGAAAAGGGAGCCTAGGACAGAGCCATGGGGGACACTCAGAATCATTGGGCATGACCTGGATGAAAATCCAGTAAAGTAGACTGAGAAGGAGCAGTCAGACAGGTAAGAGTAGAACCAGGAAAGAGGCATGTCATGAAAACCTAAGAAAAAAAGAGTATCACAGAGAAGAGAGTATCTCAAGAGACAGTGGATAGAGCACTGGATTTGGATTGAGGAAAACTTGAGTTTATATTTATCAGCAGGACATAGCAACACATACCTGTGCTCTCTCTTAGACACAAACCTGAACTCACCTTTCCTTCACATCAGAGCAGTGACTCTTCCAAATAGGCTAATTGTCACATATATGTACCTTATACAAAGCATTCACAGCGTCTGTCACTTCTATGTCTGTCCCAAAGTTTTAGTACAGTTTTAGGCTATTTATGCTTTAATAGCTTAAAACTGTACTAAAGCTTTGAAACACCTTGTATACACACAAGCACTTCTAATAAATAATATATTGGACAGCGAGCAAAAATGGTGTCAAGTTGCAGAATTGAGAACAGCAATTCGGTAATAATTGAACAAGCCTCTCAAAAGTTCTGTAACATTTCTACTGCTTTTATTGATTACTTCAAGACCGTTGACTCAGTTCTACAGTCATTGCTTATTCATGTACTGCAAAAATATAAAGTAAAATCAAACAGAGTGAAAATGCTGGAATACTTGACATCTACATAGAAAATTGTCCTCTGTTGAAAGCACAGTTGCCATCACAGTGACATCAAGAACCATGGATACTCAGTGTGGCCTCTTTTAGGGAGATGGTTTAAACTCTATTAGGTTCTTCCAAGTCTTAAAACCATCACCATATCTCATAAATAGAATGGAACATGGCTTCCACGTAACACATGGAGACATGCCAAAACATCGTTTTTGTCACTTGATGCACAGGAATGACATCAAATTACATGGCTCCAGTGAAAAACACATGAAATAGCATCTCATGAATGATACCCAAAGATACCAGAATGCCTTGTGGACCTGATAAGTGTAAAATTCCTAGTATACTCCAGGGAAAGACAAAGAAGGCCTCCAGTTTGAATCCAAAGGGCAAACTGAACCAGTGAACAAAGGTCACCCTTATAAATACCTTTAGCACCTCCAGCTAAGATATATTAAACATAAAACTGTCAAGGAGGAAGCTGTAGCTACATATGTCAAGAGATTTCCTGGCAAATTAAAATGGAGAATAACATTCAAAGCAAGTCATGTCTATGCAACTTTATTCTTAATATATGCATATTATGTCCTACTTAATATACATTTTTGGACCATAACCAATATGTAAAGCAGCCTAACAAAAACATTTACAATATTCATGAAACAAAGAGCATCTCTCCCTAAGGTAGCTATGGAAAGATTAATACTTCCTCGTCACAAGATGGTAGAGTTATTGACAGTTGTTCTCAGAGCACATGATAAACAGGTTAAAAACTTGTAGAAATACTTTTGAATCAAGCAGACGTTACTAAGAAATAGCAAAGGCGAACGTTAGGTACACGCCCTTGGGTTTGTCAAATGCAACTGAACATGATTTACTTCTGGATGGAGTAGATCCGAAGGTAGAATCAAAAGGCCCTTCTTGGGCCACATCACCATGCTGGTGAGGAATACCAACAACATGCTGGTGAGGAATAATAGAACAAATGGCTGAATCATGCAGATTTGTTTATAGAAACAGCAAGGCTTGGGTAATTCAGAAATTAGACATCTTTAGGGGGCCTGAACTTTATAATTAATAAATTATACAAGAAAACAGTAGAAACTCTACAATATAGACTAAAAATTTAGCCCACCAAATATCCCATCTGACATGACATGGTGGCTAGAAATGTGTGTGTGTGTGTGTGTGTGTGTGTGTGTGTGTGTGTGTGTGTGTGTGTGTGTGTGTGTGTGTGTGTGTGTGAAACTTGCTTTCACAAACAGCAGATTCCTATGACAAATACAGATCTTGAAAGATCCTTGAAGATTCAGTAAATAAACTGCACTAGATTGGGACCTTTATACTCAGGACTGTTGCCCACAATCACTGTGATATAATACTGATCTGTAAACATTTAATAGAAATTGCTATACTAGATACTCAACAGTTTCAAAGTTTCATGTAATCAAAGAAATTTTCAAAATACAGTGGCCTAGTAATTAGTAAGCATTTATTAGGTACTTATATGTGCCAGGTGCTAAGCACTTTACAGATTTCATTCTATATTCACAACTTTGGGAGGTAGGTGCTATTATTAATCTTCATTTTACGGTTGAGGAAATTAAGGCAGAGAGAGGTTAAGTGACTTAGCCAGAGTCACACAGCTAGTAAATATCCGAGGTCACATTTGAACTCTAGTTTTCCTCACTCCAGGCCCAGTATTCTATCCATTGCACTGCCTAGCCTCCTGTAGTAGAAGAAATCAAAATTATTTGGGAACAGGAAGAGGAATATGTATATCATCCCTCTCATCCTGGCTGCTACTGGAGTTGTCCTAAAGACATGTTCACTGAGTCTACCCTAGATGAGCTTACTTACTTACTTTTTAGACAGCTACAAAAGGCCATTATTTTATCCACATGTGCAAGTAGTCTGCAGAATGTTAAATATAAAAGAATAATGTCAGGATAACGACTTATCCCCAGGACATTTCTATCTGAATTCCTATTGAAATAAAGATGGAAATTATTTGGAGTAATAATAATGTAGTTACGTTAATAATGTAACATCAAATTTATAAAGCACTTTACATTTACAAAACTCTTTCTCACAACAATCTTGTGATGTAGTTAATGCAGGTATTCCCATTTTACAAATGAGAAAACAAGTTCAGAGAAGTTAATTGATTTACCTAAGGTCTCACCACTAGGAATATCCAAACTGTCATGCCAGCCCAGGTTTCTTCCCATTCTGAGCTGAGCACGGTTCCTTCTGTTCCATGTTGCCTTTCATTTCTTGTGTCCTGTTCAGTTCCATCCCAACCTGCATGTCCAAGAGACACTCAAGTATTTGTTTTGATGCTCTTATGCTGTGGAAATTTCATAGAAATTGGGATACTGTGCCTATCCTGCATCTCTCATCAAATGGTCATTATGGCATTGGTCTTAAGGAGGCTTCTTGATGCAGGTTGCCTTTATGATATGCCATTGAGAAATTCTGGCATACTGTTTTCCCCCTTTTTGAGTGTACCTTCTTCTGAATTCTTACACCGATGCCTGATCATTATGTAAAGGCTTTGCTACCAGAACAAAAGTTCTGGAAAGTTCTGTTGAGCTAGAAAGACTTATCTGCAGAGAGAGAAGAGAGAAGAGAGAAGAGAAGCAGAGAGAGAAAGAGATGAGAGAGGCAGAGAGAGAAGAGAGAAGAGAAGCAGAGAAAGAGATGAGAGAGACAGACAGAAAGTCAGAGAGGGACAGAGAGTGAGTCAGAGAGATAGAGAGAGAGACACAGATACAGAGAGAGACAGGAGAGAATGAGAGAAAGAGTGTGTGTGGGTGTGTCTGTCTTGCCCGAGGACCCACCTACCTAAGTGCACAGAGGCTTATTATTACCAGAAAGTTGGCTACTGAAGGGGATCCATTTCTTTCCACCATAATAATTTTTATAGACTCTCTATTGGAGGTCCTTAATCTTCTGTGTGTGGTAGATCCCTTTGGCAATCTGGTGATGCCCAGGGGCCCCTCCTCAGAATAATGTTTTTAAATGCATAAAATAAACACAAGATAACAGAAGGAACCAATCATACTGAAATACAGTTATCCACATATCAGAAAACAAATTCTTGGACTCTAGGTTAAGAATCCCTGGTATACTGGGAATACTTCAATCAGTGACATCACAGATCCTTCAAATATTGAACTCTAAACCCTGCATCTTCTTAAAAATAGAAGAAATTCTAGCTGTGTGACCCTAGGCAAGTCACTTAACCCTGATTGCCTCACCAAAAAAAATATATATATATAAGGAATTGCCAACCATTTTAGAAATTTCTTAAGTGAAAAGTAAACAAAGTTAATTTTTTTTAAACTAAAAAAATTCTAAGAAGGGGTATACAGAATTTGGTCTCAAGATAGTTGACATGAGCCATCATTGTTCATCTCCATACTTGTTCTTAAAAACAACACCAAAGAAAACAAACAAAACCAAACTAATGAACTTTAAAGGGAGTTATAAGTGGAAGAGAACAAAAATCTGGGCTTTCTAATAAAACAATAGAACTCTTGTTCTAGATATTAAACACAGGCCTTTTCAGCATGTCATTTAAGTCTGTTTTTTCTTCCCACTTGATTCCAGGGAGAAGATCGCCTATTTTACAAGAGCAAAGATTAGCATCCCACCCTTGCCAGTGGATGATGTGTAAATTACCTATTTTGAATCATTCTCCCACCTGCTCACTCGGAGGCAGGTGAAAGGGGTGAACTTTTCTCTTCGTTTTTTTTTGGGGGGGGGTAACCAATTCTTTCAGATCTTTTATTTTGCATCAGACTATAGATGTGTTTATTTGTAAAATATCGTGAACTTAATTAATTGTATGTTAAAAAAAAAGGAAAGGAAAAAAATCTAATGTCCAAAACAGAATAATTCTGGTACACAGATTTGTTGTACAGTAAGGTGTGCATTGCATGTGGGCTCTTATTTTGTAAAGATGGAGTAGAGACAAGTACCCAGTGTGTACCCTGTTGAACTGCACTGTCAAGAAATACTGTATTCAGAAGATTTCTCTCTTCCCCTGATTTCATGTGAGTAGACTGTGAAGATGGCAACCGTGCCATGCAATATTTTTATACAAGAAGAGTATGACTCTTTAAGTTTGAATTCAAACATGCGTCTAATAAGCTTCTTTCCAGGGCTACAAAGCCATCCCAAATAGGTGCTGGGTCAATTTCTTTCACTTACATTGGAACATTTTGTTTCCTTAAAAGATTCCCTTTTTTGGCCTTTTATATTTGTCTAAGTAAAAACAGTTAACATTGGAGTACTGAGTGCAGGAATAAATATAACTCTGTGAATGTACAGTACTTTTGGCCGCACTAAAGATCTCGTGAGTTATTTCATTGAAAGGAGGAGAATTCTGAAAGACAATAGCAAATAACTAAAATTCAGGAAAAGAAAATCACCTGGTGGGCAGCTGCTTCTTAAAACTTGAGGGTGAATTTGCACAAGTGTTCATAGTCTAGCCACTTCCAGGTATAATCACTGTTACGGACACCAGTAGTATTTTGCCATAAGTATCATAGTATTACTAACTAGAAGAATGTGGCATGATTTCATTTCTAATGCCATCGATATTAGTGAGGCAGAGAAAAATTACTACCTAAAATTTAAAAGCAAACCAGTGACCAGGAACCAGTCTTTCTTGTTGGGATCTGAATCATGACCCAAAAGATAACCACTATTGCAGAATTGAAGGATTTTACCAGAATCCAGGCTGTAATCCTCATTTTTAGGGGACTTAAGCAATGCTTCATGGACAAGAATGTTTGGAAATCTGGAGGATTTTTTTTTTTAATTTGGTTGAAATTCACCCCAAGTAGGTGTGTTTCTTTGTTTGCTTTTAAACTAGATCCAGACAAACAAGCATCCAGAAATAAATCTGAGTTAGGTATTCACCACAATAGAACCTTTAACTTTACTTAATCAGATCCTTTTTAAAAGAAGCAAGCTCTTAGTATAGCTGTTCCAGGGTCACTATTATAAATGGCAGGGCTTTAAAAGAAAAATGCTAAATGCAATTGTAAATCAAATTAATATCAGCCTCTTTACCATCCACTCTCTTATTTCTGAAAAAAATATTTCAATAACCTTAATGTGAGAGGAACCTAAATCAGTTTTATCTGGGATGTAAAATCACATTCAAGAAAAAGAAAGTTTCCTGTTCAGGGTGGTTCTGAACCAGTGCTTTTATTCGTAAGCTAGCATCCTTACAAACAAGTAACTTATCTTGAAAAGAACGTGTGTGTGTGTGTGTGTGTGTGTGTGTGTGTGTGTGTGTGTGTGTGTGTGAGAGAGAGAGAGAGAGAGAGAGAGAGAGAGAGAGAGAGTGTGTGATCGAGGCCAGCAAATTCTGTACCTGTAACTTGTGCACAAAGATCACTTAGCCATAGTTTTAAGCTGTTGTACCAGTACATTCAAAGCAAAGTGATGCAAATTGTTTTTTTAAAAAAGACATACTGGATTGCTTTGAATAAGTGAGTGAACTAAGATTTTCCAAGGTTGCCCACTTAATTCTGTCTTTTTAAGATATATGAAAACCAACAAAAATAAATACCATTCATCCTTGTAAGGTCAAATGTGAACTGCAGAAGTTTTGAAGTTTATTTAATATGAAGTTAAATGAAGGTCTTCTATTTTCAGCTTCTTAGTCTGATTCTGTAAAATGTGTTTAGAAGGATGTGTAGTTGTGCTGTATGATTTTATTTTCTTCATTTATTTATTTACAGTCTTATTTATGTTCTGCTTAATATAGTTCAGTTCTGGCCATTTAAAATATCTGACATGAAAGAGACCATATCAGATCATTTTTAGCTTTATGAATCCTCCCATAGTAGCTATTAATTATATATGATTTAAAAAAAAAGATTTGGAGGGGTGGTAAAGAGTAAAAACTATCTCAGGCTAATTGTTAATAGGTAAGGCCAAGATCAAGATTTTTAAAAAAGATTTTTCAAAATTTGCTCATTTTACAAATGAAAGGCAAACATTTTTAACATATCCCTTCTCCTTCACTTTGAAAATCAGCCATAGTGTTACATACGTATTTATGGGCAGCTTTTAACAATTTTGTTATTTTTGTACTAACCCAAATTATTCACAGTGAAAAAAAGTCAATTGATCAAAAAATGGATAAACATGAATTTTAATCTTACAAATATTTAAAAAGTAGAATTTACTCTTGAAAGAGTGTAACGAATATAATATTTAGATTTCATGTTTCGATTATCAGTATGTTATTACAGTTTTGCATATCAGAATCTAAGTATTACAGGTACAAGAACAATATTATTATTAGCCAAATGAACAAACTTTAGCTGAATTTTGTAGACTACAAATCAATTAATTTTAAAAATCTTTTTTTTTTGCTATTGCTTTATCTATATTGTATTAAATATCAAATGCTCAGGACTGAACTAAATATTTAATCAGGTTAAATTCTGAATGTGTTTTCTGTTCTAATTTGTCTTGTTTGTAAAAGTATGCAAATACATCACATAGATTAACTTTTGTCTCTGCACTTTCCATGTGTTTGTGATCGGGAAAAAAAATACAAGTTTTTAACAAAGATACTCTTTGCCTGATATTTTATTCCAGCATCAGATTAGACAGATAAATTCTCCCTCTTTGGCTGGGGCAAAAGGGTCTGCATGAAATCTTTACATGGCAAATATGGATGTGTTTATTAAAAATTCCCCATGCCAGCAGTTTGTTTTTGAATAGTTCTTCATAGGTCAATGTGAATTACTGATAGGGAATACAACATCTTTAGGCATGTTTTCATTCTGAGAGTCAGCAAAAGACTTCAGAAAATGAGCTTTATAACAGAACTAATTACAAACTGGCACAACCCATGGAGGTATATCCAGGGCTCGGGTGTTCTCTGTACAGTATTGTTCTGCAAATGTCACAGAGAGCTGCACTATAGTAAGTGGTGGGTTGTGATACAGACCCTTAAATGGAGACCGGTGGAAACTACCAGCGAAATGTGTTTCACTTGATGGACTCTCGAACAGTTTTTTTCTTCAGTCTTCAGTAGCAACTCGATCCCTTGCATATCCTATCATTGTCCTTCTCTGTTCTCAGCATGTTGGGAAGCGTTGATAAAAGTGACCGGCTCTTTTGTAAACATAAAAACACAGGCACTGAAGCCTCTAGTAGATTAAAAAAATTCATCAAACATCTCCCCTCCTCTTTAAGCTTTTAGGAGCAGAAAATGTTTTTGGATATGGGGGAAAAAATTTGGCACTGATATAAAGAAAACATTTGTGCAACGGACCTTAGACTGTGGTTTCATTGTAAAAGGTCATGTGAAAACACAGGGTGCTGCAATGATTAGCAGGCACATTTCAGGTGGGTATTTGGTGAATACCCTTAAATATAGTCAAACACTAATATAATGTTTTATTTACCAGTTCAGTGCAATCACCAGAAGTATTATAAAATTAAGAGGAACTCATCACGTGTAATGAGAATGGTCACTATTAAGTCTTGATTGTTTTGGTCTCGGGATGGAAGATGAAAATGGTTTTTCAGCCTCAGAAGAAGATTGTGGCTTAAAGCCCTAATGGCCAAAGGAAGAATGCATTTTAGAAAATTAAAAAGCATAATGGGTGGTTGGCCATAGAGCAGATAATCGTAGCCCATCCAGAGCTGAACAAGTATCTTGCATAAAAGTTTTAAGAGAGCCTGGTCCCTTTATCTTAGATTTTCACAGGGGTATTTTTCATCTCCAGATTTTGACTTGGATCTTGAATTTCTGCCACTGTGTAATGATTGAATGATGGAGATGTTTGAGTAGAACAGGCTGCACAATTAAGGAAGGACCCTCCAATAACAAGGAAAAATCCAGCAAACCAGCCAACAAAGAGAGCTTTTCCAAACTCCCATCTGGGGACAATGTCTGGAATAGTCTCATCCCAAAATTCCTGAACTGTGACGTGGGCAACCCAGGACACTGGGATGAGGGCTGTGATTCCTGATAGCCACAGCAGAATTCCTCCCAGGATCATCAGCCATTTCTTGAGCTTCCTTTGCCCTCCTCCAGTCCTCAAGTAATCCAAACCAAACCCGGATGTCAGCAGGCCCAGCACTCCAAACCCATTGGATAAGAACATTAAAATCCTGGAGATCCTCAGCTCAGCAGGCAAAGCCAAAAATGAATCAAAATCCTTACACTGCATCCCTCCTTCTTCTTGAATAACACAAGTCTTCCAGAGTCCCATGGTCCAGTTCTCCATTTCGTTTAGATGTAAATTGAGATTCTTCCACTGTGGCAAATAAGTTGTGAGACAGGATAAAATCCATCCTAGGAAGGAGAATGAAAGTCCGACTAATTGTGCCACCGTTCTGAAAACTAAAGCCATATTGTAGTGTGGAGTGCAGTGAGTGTGGGTACTGTCTGAGCTAAGTTCTGTCAGTTGCTGTGAATAGAAGTGTGACACTTTGTGTTATCACATGCAAAGCTCTGAAATATTTTTTTTCTTTGTGTATATAGAAGGACGCTTGCCAGTTACTATTGTTTGGTATCATGTTGAATAGGTTTCAGAAAAGGATAGGGAAATAATGCTGCAAACCAGTCATTCCAAGGTGTGGCCAAGGTCATGTTGATGTCCTATTGGTTCAAGTTTGCAGAAAGTAGTTTCTCATTTAAATAAATTTAAGTGATAAGGGTTCCTGGTCACTTTATTTAGTGCCTATGCTTTTTTTTTTCTTTTTGCAAGTCAAAAGGATTTGAAAAAGGAAATTTTTTTTATCAGACCTACCCTGCTACTCACTCCCTATGTGTTTTGTGTGTGCCTCCATGCATAAGGATTCACTTTTAATGTTTTCTTTGCATTATGTGAGTGTTTTGTGTTTAAGGAAAGAATTTGCCTTTAAACCAGGAGTCCTTTGCCTTTAAACCTGAGGTCCGTGAACTTGTTATTTGAAAAAATATTTTGATAATTGTGTTATATTTTATAATTAGTTTCCTTTATCATCCTATGTGTTTTATTTTATGCATTTAAAAATATGATTCTGAGAAAAGGTTCATAGGTTCCTAGAGCCAGAGGGACCCATGACTGACAAAAGGTATAAAAGAACTCCTGTTTTTAAACAGAGTTTGTGAGATAGAGATTTAGTATCTTTATCACAGTGTCAAAAGTCCCCGTGGCTATTTGAGGCAAGTAATGAAGTTTTCCATTGGAGCAAATGAACCATCAGAGGATTATTACTAACTTTTTTGTGAAAGTTGTGGAACATTGGCCTTACAAATGTCTGTAACTGAGAGAATATTAGTCCTAGAAGTCTTCAGTCTCATTTTAAAAAAGAAAGAACAAAAGAAAAAGAAAAGTCAGGAATGATGTCTGGTGATTTGCTGGACACAAAACCCCTCTGTTGAGTGTTCAGGTAACATTGGACTGTTCGAGAGACTGAAGTAAGTATTGTGGAAATAATACTGTAGCATCAGTCTTGGGTGTAATTATGCAATGGAGAATACTTTAATAATCTGGATTGGTTTCCTAAGGAAAGAGAAGCTGATTAGTTTCTAACTGCCAACACAAAGTTTTCAAAGTTAAAAGTTGCTGCCAACTAAGAATCTGAATTGACTACAGTAGGCACAACCCACAGGATACTCTTCGTTTGTATTAGCAGACCAAAGTAAACTATTTGCCCACCTCTATGTAAAATCTCATTAGATATAATGATTTTTCCTTAAACAAAAGGTTTCCTCTCATTCTCCCAAGGGGGGGGAAATGTTGCTTGGAAATCACCTTATCAAATGAGAAAATCTGAGATGCAGAGACTTTGTTAAGTAACAAAGAACCCTTTGAAGTGGATAAGAATAAATTCTTTTGCATTGCATTTCCACAATAAAACAAAACGGCTCTCCCCTTTTTTTTTTCAAAAACTCCTCCACTTTAGGATCTGTTTCCAGCTTCCAGGTGTGGACACTGAGCTTGCATTTCTGCCACTGTGTAATGGCCCGAAGGAGCTTGAGTTGAAAAGGCTGCACAGTTAAGGAGAAACCCTCCTAGGAGAAGAGAAAATCCAGCCACCCAGCCAACAAAGAGAGCTACTCCAAACTCCCATCTGGGGACAATATCTGGAACAGTGTCATCCCAAAATTCCTGAACTGTGATATGGGCAACCCAAGACACTGGAACAAGGGCGGTAATTCCTGATAGCCACAGCAGAATTCCTCCTAGGATAATCAGCCGTTTCTTGAGCTCTGCCTGCTCTTCTCCAATCCTCAAGCAATCCAAACCAAACCCAGACACCAGCAGGCCCAGAATTCCAAATCCATTTGACAGAAACATTAAAATCCTGGAGATCCTCAGCTCAGTAGGCAAAGCCAAGAATGAATCAAAGTCCTTACACTGCATCCCCACTTCCTCTTGGAAGACGCAAGTCTGCCAGAGTCCCATGGTCCAGTTCTCCATTTCATTCAGCTCTAAGTTAAGAATCTTCCACTGTGGCAAGTAAGTTGTGAGACAGGATAAAACCCATCCTAGCAAAGATAATGAAAGTCCAACTAATTGCATTACTCTCCTGAAGATTAAAACCATTGTCACAAATTATAAAATTTCCAGTAATCTCTGTCTTGCTCCCCTATAGGAGCTGCTATCTTTTGTAGCTGATATAGTTCTATGATGATCTAGGTTCTTTGCTGCCCCAAATATAAGCTTTTGCCATTAACCCTTTGCGATCAGCTGAAATGACATTTTTGTTCTTCCTGAATATAAGGTTTCATGTAAAGGACGAAGGACTCTGTTAAAACCATGAGTTGGGTTCTCTGATAAGCATTTGATCTGCTACCTTCCAATTTGCTTGGTAAAATTATATCCCCAATGCCTGATGATTACAAGTCTGAGGATGAACAAAGGAGGCTCTATGACCCCTCACCCTAAAATACAACAGAAATCTTTGTGCTTCAATATGGATTAATTAGATTTTAAGTGGTGATAAAAAAAAGCCAGCTCTTTCTGCAACAGGACTTCATTGTAATAGCTAAATTTGAGATTTTGGGGATGTAAAACAAGGCCTTGTAAAGAAAGGTAGACTGTTTGCCTATAATCTTTATGCTTCCTTGACTTCTTCAACCTACACAACCCCCCTTCTCCTGCCCTGTTCCCACCCCAAGTTCTTGAGCATCTCTGGCATTTGGTAGATGCTTGCCAGAAAGTGTTTGCTTTTTGCATAGCATTACCCTCATGGATTCCTCTGAAAGGCATTGTGAGAAAGGAGCATACATTTATAAAGGTAAGCGTGAGTCATGGAACAAACAACACTCTATGAATCTCAGTTTCCAGGAAATTAACTGAGATAGGTTGGGCCTATAGTGAAGCAAATTCTTACCTTGATCATCTTCATCATCTTCTCTTTTTTTAAAGTCTATAATCTGCTTTTGTTTTGTGTATAATTAACTGTGGCCTATAGAATGCTTCAGGAATCATGATCCCTAGCCAGAAAACAATAACCAAAGTGGGGCTGACCTCTCTCACTTATTTATTTTTTACGTAGGTCACACACCCCTTGGCAACATAATTTTCTTAGCTAAGTATGACCCCATGGGGCTTTGGAGACCATGCAAACGAAAAGCCACATGCTCCAAATCTTCAAGGGTAGCCTGGTGTTGGTAGAAGGTGCCTCTATATGTGTGTGGCTAAAACCTGCTTAAAGGCAGCTCCTGGTGGGCCCTGATGGAGCAAAGAATTCCATAGACAGGATTGTTTGTTTAAGAAGTTTCTGCACAGACTCCATATTCCTTGAATTGGTGATAGAAGACAGACTTCTAATTTCATTAGTTAATACTGTCCAAGAAATACAGATCATCTTCCATGAGGTCTTAATATGGGGAGATTGACTCAGTTTGCTTGTTAAATATATGCAAAGCATAGATTATATTTTATTTAAATAATATACGTAATATAAAACATCAAAGGGGTTGCTTTGGGATTTCTTCTTACACATACATTTTCTTTTTTCTACCTGCATTCTCTGAAGTTTGAGGAGATGATGAAAATTGAGTTTTTATTTAATGTGTTTGTAAAAAGCCTTGCAACTGTCTAATTTATGTGTGATTTCACCTTGAAATAAAGTGTTGCTCATATTTAAATAATCACAGGTCCAGGAGGTCTATGTAATTTACATAGGGTCTCCCCTATCAGTTGATGGCGGTCATTTCATGGACACATTGTTTGGGCTCATTGGTAAGGATCTGAGAACTAGGGATATTTAGTCTGGAAAAGAAAGGTTGGGGGTTGGGCTTGATAATTCCATTCAAATATTTTAAGGGCAACCCTCTGGAAGAGAGATTAGACTCATCTGTGTAGCTCCAGAGAGTAGAACTAGACCCAATGGTTAGATATTACAGGAATTCAGATTCTGGTTCAATGTAAAGAACTTCCCAACCATTAGATCCATACTTAATCAAGAAGCTGCCTTTTGACTTGGTAAGTTTTGTCATTATTGATAGGCTTCTGGCCGAGGCTGAGCTTCATGGCAGAAGGAGATGGATTAAATGGCCCCTTCCAACATTAAGCTCCCATACCATGCTGCTTCCTGAAACCTAGGACGAATGTTCCTAGCAGAGAGCTGAAAATAATTAAGGAAAGGCTATTTGTGAAGTTGTTACTCCTATATTAGTGTTAATAATTATTCAACAGGGGCAGCTAGGTGGAGCAGTGGATAGAGAGAGCATCAGCTCTGGAGTCTGGAGGACCTGAGTTTAAACCCAGCCTCAGACACATAACCACTTACTAGCTGTGTGACTCTGGGCAGGAGTCACAAATTTGCCTCACAAAAATATATATTATTGAACACCAGCAAGAGTTGAATCAAAAGCTAAATGGAATGATCTTTTCTCTTGCCTCGCAAATTTAAAGCTCAAAAAAAAATTTTACAATGTAAACTAAAGTCAATGATGGATGTGTGCACACTTTTAGTAGAACCAAGATTTGGCTGGTAAATCATAACTCAGAAGCTGGTAAATCAAATACCCAAGGAGGTGTTTGACTGAATCCAAGATTTAGTGGATGCTTTGTAAACATTATTACATTGCAAAGGTTAGACCTTGGTTGGTTTTCATTTTTTCTCAATTTTATATTCATGGTGGAAATTGTAGTGATACTCAAAGCTACTACTAACATATTTAGGGTTCTGCTACATTTGAATCCATGCTAGGCTAGGCCAAGCCTTCAGTGACCTACCTAAGTCTTCAATTGGAGCACACATTGCCTCTTCCTACCTCAACCAATGTCTGCTGATTTTGTTTCCTTAGATACCTGGGAGTAAGACTGGCCTGGCTCATTTCTAATAATTCATTTACAAAGTGCTTTCTTCACAACAACCCCACATGGTGGTTGTAATATGACTAGCCCAATTTTACAGATAAGAAAATTGAGTCTCAAGAATGTGAAGTAATGTACCCATGATCACAGATCTATTAAATGTGTTAGAGCCTAGAGGCCTCCTTACCTCAGTCCCAGGATTCCTTCCACAATATTGAGAGTATGGTTCACCTTATTCTCCAGTATGAGACATAAGGTTACAAAAACAGCATGGCCACCCAAAACCCCAATGGTCTATTCAATGGAGCAATCAATAAATACTAGTCACTTACCATGTGCCAGGCATTGTACTCAGAATACAAGAGGAAGTAAAAGACAGTCCCTACCCTTAAGGAGCTCACAATCTAAGGGGGAGACAAAATGCAAACAAACATATAGAAACATGCATACAGTATAAATACGAAGTCATTAACAGTGGGAAGGAAATAGAATGTAAGAAAGGCTTCCTACAGAAGGTGGGTCCATCTCCCTCTTACCTCCATCTCCATTACCTACCTGCCTCATTTATTTCCCTCCTCCTCCATAGTCCCACATACCTCTACCACCACTGACATCAGATGGTAATTAAAAGAGCCAAAGGGAAAAAAAGTGATGAGAGGTAAAAGTGGGGGGAAGGGGTGGAAAATGGAGGCCCCAACCCAACCCTCCCATTCACTACAGTACAGACGTTCCAGAGTTCCCTTTACTGGAAGGCAAAAGAATGTGATTTTAAGAGACCTTGCCTAATTCTTACAGAATTAAAACTATGTACTTAAAACTATGGTTGGTCCAAGCATACATGTATGGAGTTGTGTGCCGATTCTGAATACCACGTTTCAGAAGCTGGAGCCTGTCCACAGAAAGGTGACTAGGGTTTTGAGAGGACTCCAACTTAGGCCACGTCAGGATTTGGACAAAGAAAATGAGGTTTTTAGGCTAGATGAGAGAAGCCTTAGGGGTCATATTTGTTCTGCTTGACTGCACCGAGCAGGCCGGGGATTGCTAAGTAGAGCTATCTGTAAAGTAGAATGGTTGTCTTAGGAAGTCAGTGAGACCACCTGCATGGTCCTGGATGCCTGTGGTTCAGTTTATTTCCCTCCATCTATTATCCTAATTAACTGTTAAGCTCTTCTATTAGAATGTAAGCTCTTTGAGCACTGGGTACATAACCACCATAGTACCTTAAAAAATGCCTTGTGCATAGTAGGCTCCTTTTAAAACACTATGCAAAATGTTTGGGAGTTAGGGATGGGTGGACCAACCTTATGATTTCATTTGGTATAGGGAACTCCCGGTGAGGAAACCTACTAATCTAGATTGACATTTTTCCTGCAATTTAAAGCCTTGGAGATTTACCTGGGACACTGAGAAGTTAATTAACTTGCCTAGGTGCACACGTTAGTATCCCAGCTCTCTCAATTCCCACCATACTGGGGAAAATGCCTTGTACTTTGTGACTCCTTAAAAAAAAAAAAAAGGGAAGTGGGGGTTGACTTGTGGTTTCATTGGTTTAAAAAAAAAAAGATTGAGACCCTAGTAAAGAAATCCTCCCTATTAATATAGATTGGCACCCTGTCTGCAATTTAAAATCCTAGAAATTTGCCTGGGACAGAGGAACACAAAGCCAGAAGTGTCTGAGATGGAACTTCAGTCCAGGTCTCTGACCCTCTAGGCTGGCTCTATCCACTACACTGTGGCTGCCTTTCTTTAATAGGGGATTAGTTCTTACTCAGAAAGGATGAATGTTTTGTTTTGTTTTTTTTTTCATTCAGCTTTAAATGATAATAAATGCAAACACAGAATGTGAATGCTCTCTTCATTAAACTCTAACAATAAGGAAACAGCCTGATGTTTTGATCATGACTAATCAACTCTGAACAAAAGAAATGGACTCTCAGCAGCTATTTACAATGGAGCAGAAAACACTGCGGAAAGTGAGTCAATATTGCCAAAACATCTTAACGAGTTAGGCAAACAGTGTCCTAATCTGATGGAGGTGTTAAGATCGCTATCTCCCAGACTGGCTTTGCCTTCTGTGCCAAGACAACAGTTACCTTGCCTCACTCGAGTTCTGGGTTCGGCTTTTAATTGGTCTGAGGTCTCTAACTTCTTAATTGCATTATCAGTTCAGCACACCCCTGTGGAATGCCTACTATGTACAAGGCTAGCTGCTGCTTAAAGTCTGGCTGATCTGTTCATTGTGTCTCCAAATAAGGGAGGAGAAAAGTGAAAAGCCAGGGAGGAAGAACTAGCAGGGGTGGGATTTGGATTCAGTCAAAAGACTGCACTTGAGGACTTAGAGGGTCACATGTAGCCTTGAGGTGCCAGGTTCTCCACACCTGGTAGGGTATCCTTCCCAGCCTTATCCGTCTATTACCTCATAACCACTGCACCTGCAGTTTTCCAGAAGGCATTGCCGACAACGGAAGAGGAGCCTTTTCCTCTATTTTATTCTATTATTCTCCATGTAGGGGACAGGTGTTTCTCTCTGAACCTACATGCTAGAGCAGAATGTGTGTAAGTTGCTTTGAGCCTGGCCTTTCTATGAAGACAGTTGATGAAGTCATGTACAGTGAAAAGAAAATGCTTCCATTGTTTGGCAACACATAGGAGCCCAGAATTCTGGGACGCAGAGCTGGCCTAGGAAAAGTTGGTCTCCAGCACCCCAGGCTCCCATTTGTTGTTCAGTCATTTTTTCAGTCATGTCCAACTCTCGGTGACCCCATTTTAGGGTTTTCTTGACAAAGAGACTGGAGTGGTTTGCTGTTTCCTTCTCCAGCTCATTTTACAGATGAGAAGCTCAGGTAAATAGGGTTAAGTGACTTGCCCAAGGTCACATGGCTAGTAAGTATCTGAGGCCAGATTTGAACTCAGGAAGATATCTGAGTCTTTCCGAGTCTAGGCCACACACTATCACCTCCAAGCTGCTTTGCCAATGCAGTAGATCTTCTGTACAGATCTACTTTGTTATCTCTTCTCGAGTGGGCTTAGTTTAGGAGTTTCAGGGTGAGAAGAAAGGGGCTGACTTCTCATCTTTGGCTCTGTCCCATGAGCTTCTGTGCAGGTACTTCCAACCTCTGCCCCTATTTCTACCCCTGTTCACCCATACAGGCAGCTCCTAGGTAAGGAAGCTTTCACCACCAGGTTAGTTGGCACCTTCTTTGCAGTTTATAATCATAGAGGTGCCTGTCAAACTTAGGCTGTGACTGGCCCCAGTCCTACAGTCATTCTGTCAGGGATACCTCCTTGCATATACATATAAAAATAAATAAAATAGATTTTTTTTCATTTAAAAAACCATTTTAGTAGTAAAGTTTACATTTTTTAGTATCATAAAGTTGTTTTCTCTCCAATTTTTTTTCACCAACAACATAGTCATTTATCAGATATTCCCCATAATCCCTTGATGAGTTTCTGGGAACTCCTGCTCTCGAACCTGTCCTTTAGCATCCCAAGGCAACTGGTCAGAAATATCCCATTAACCTTTCTGGTCTGCTCCATTATCTTTCTTATACAAGTAGGGTTGTGATTTGGGAGGGTCATCAAACTGTAAAAGACATTTACCAAAACATAAGCTATAACCAAATGCAAGCTGTTAGACGATTCTATCTAGTTGTTTATGACTGGGAAACTTGATTTCCTAGTGATTAGAGTTGTTCAGGAATGCCTCTGTGGCTAGTGAGTGCCCCTTCCCTGTAGGACCACTTGGAGATATTGAGGAGTCCCTGCTTTGTGATGGGTTGGACTAGATGACCTAGGGAGGAAGCATGCATGGTGCGTACAG